GGGTTCTTTATTCGAAGTTTTAATTTTTGGATCATGTGTCAAACTTTCGAATTGTCATGGATGTGCCATGGATGAAAGTTCAGGAAATTGTTCCCTGTATCAAGTGAACAATTCGTGATAAGTGATATAAACAGTGATAGTAGTTTTGAGTAACACTTCTGAAACATTTCGGAATATTTCGGCAACGAATTTGATGAGCACTCATGCAGCTGATCAGCCCTACTCATGTTGTTGTGTGCTCAGAAATCATCAGTTCAACAGATATCCGTTAGGTGATTCAAAGAAAATAATGTGATATTTCGTTATTATCATTCATAATTTGTATATAAATGGGTTTAATTCTTCAATGAAATGAATAAATTTTGATTTTTCCAATCAATTTCTCATTGCATTACGCTATCATTAATCATCGCCGACCCAATACAGGTTCATCGCTTTGACATTTTCCTTTGACCTCATAGAACGGTGGGCAGCAGCTTGGTTGAGTGCATTCTGCGGCTTCTTTATCCAACACACTGAAATCTTTCCGAATGTTTTCATCGATTCTGAATTGAGATTCTAATGTCTTTGTAAATATTTTTCAGAAATGCGATCTCCTCAACGAGAGAAAAATTCATTTGTTGGAAAGACGACAAAGGAGAGAAGAAACTTTTGAAGAAGAAGAATGAAATGAGAATCGCACCCTTTGCAACCAGGTTTGTCGGCGCATTGTCGCAGACGTTGTTTGAGTTTCGCACACTTTGGATCAACTTTACAAACGTGAAGATTACACGATTGAAATTCTTGATTTTTTCCTCTGAAATAACACAAAAAAACCATAAATAATCGTATAAGGTAAGCATAAATTCAGTGAATCTTGTCATAACAATTAAGAGTTGAATGTTGTTGAAATGGAGAGTGATAATGGTAACAATACAAGTTGAAGCAACAAGTGCATAAACGGACATGCATTCAGCAGTTTTGCATATTCGAATTCTCGACTGTATACCACAACCACCACACGGTTTCGAGCACTCCGACCATGTGCCCCAATCAGCCCATATGTTGCTACCAGCCACGGTTGTTGGTGGAACTGGAACACAACAAAACGAGATTGAAATTCACGAAATAGGCTCGGAAATTTCATTGCGCATCTCATTAACACAACAACACTCATGAAGATGCTGTTCACTGATATATAAAAAATTAACAAATCATAATTTATCAGATTCAACTCGCATAACTGGATATCAGAGAATCATTCGCGCAATGTCATTTCTCGAAATATTTTAATTTAAATTTTTATCTTCGTCAACAGTGATTTCTGGGTCAGTATTTTGTGTGCATTGTTCATCTTTCAAATGGATCAAAGAAACGAGAAAGTATCATATCGGTAATTGCATTTGAGTGAATTTCATAAGGAATACCTGTCGTTGTTCGTTTTGGTGTTGCAGCTATCTTACGTGCGGGTTTTGATGCTAAAATCA